AATTTGCTGTTGTGACTTGTTTTTGTTTCTAGAAATCAGAGGAATATGTGCTCAATGTATTTCCTTTGATTACATAGTAGGTACTAATACATTTCCTTTGATTACATAGGCTCGAGTCCTACCGGTGGACGATTTGTAAAACAATAATCAGGCAAGGATACCATTTCATTTAAGACAGACAGGCAGACAGACACGGGTATAGATAAGTCATATTTCCCACTGAAGTGAACGTAGCAAATAGCTTACTGTATCCAAACTGGCCTGCGGTAGTTGTAGCAGTGGTTGTGCTGGAGCCGCACGGTGTGTCCTTCCACTGCTCTGTACAACTTTCTCCCATATATCCTACTTCACAGCTGCACTCCCCCAAGTTGTTACAAACCTAAAAATAGAGAAAAAAGACGATAGTTTAACTCTAATCATATCCATAGGTGCCGAATTAACTATGGTTTGCTCTTTAGATTCAGACATTTAAGATCTTTGAACACTTTAATCAGCTGGGAAGGAGATAAGTTATAGGTCCTAGCTCATCATGCAAGAGAAGTAAAATGATGTGTATGGAATTCGAACTTTTAGAATTATAGAACAGAATAACTAATAAATTTGATTAGAATGTAAAGAAATATTATTCCGCGAATATATACATAAATTAGCGCTTATTTGAACATTGTAGAATTCAATGGAAAAAGGTATTTCTATATGTGTGAATTAAACCATAAGCTACCATTATTTACGGGCATTATAAATGTTAGAAACAAACACGTATAATTCATGACGGCTGCCTTAAACACTATAGAATCATGATTAAACTTACGTGTAATCCTTCCGAACATGTATTATTATAGCCTGATAAGATTCGGATTTTATAAAAAAAAAAAGTTTAGCACATAGGCCTATTGCTCTGATTCTGTTTCCTTTTTCCTTTTTTCACGCCCCCCCCCCATATTATTTCGTGTTGTGATTGAAGACTTGGTTGTTTTATTCATTATTTAATGTTCTGATAGTTAATCAAAAGTAATATAATATCTTCCTACATGTAGGGCAGTTCCACATAATTTATGGTGTTACGACCCTTTTAAATGTTCTGAATAATGAATGGCAATGGATGTTTTTTATTCGCATGGAAAGTAAATAATTTCATTCACATTGTTTTGTATTAAGAATTCAAATACACATAAGTTTGGTACACTTTTGCCTTATGGAAATGTCGCGTAAATCATAACAAATACTTTGTGAATTGAATTAAAATATTGCTAATGCTAATGTAGACATTGTGTAACTGCAAGCGAAACGAATAAATAAATAAATAAACAAATAAAATAATAAAAATAAATGCAAAGAATATCTATTCTTAAAACAGGATTTTCCGTGTCCCCTTAAAAAGAAAACTTTGGAAATAGCCCTCGTACAACGGGGATACAGGCAGCAATTTCAATCCAGGTCCTGGCTGTACGACATAAAATTTATATTCCCCTACTGTGTTAGGGAGGGCAGGCTCCTCTTCAAAGTTCGAATTATGTCCAAGCATATTTTAGAGGGACAATAAATGAAGCAAAAGATTAACAATGCCATCAAAACTGAAGGTAATTGCCCCAACAATGGCAAATTAGAAAAAAGTAACACGAAAAAACCTGAAGATACCAACCATTTTGGGCAACAGTGTAGTATCAAGCGACATGAATATTTCTAGCGACAAATGAAACACTTAACAACCCAATATGAAATACGGTTACTTAAAGTGACAGCGTATGATAATATTTCATTTTGTTGAAGACTAAATGTCCTTTATGTCACATATAGGCCTACAATACAAGAAAATACGGGTGTTGACGTAGACGTATCCTGTCAACGAGTATAATACATGTAGTTTATTGAAAAAATTACGAGATTAGTATGCACTTCGCACGACAAACTGAAATATTTTTGTGTATAGTTTCTTCTTCGTTTTTTCTTTTTATCAGATTCTGTCTTTAGTCAATTTTGTTGAAGTAAATGTGACAAATATATACGCAGCATATCAAATCGGTTAAGAGCATGCTAATATACGGACTTCTTCAACTTCTCTCCGACGTTGCCTAGTGCTGCCTAGTACAAGTGAATAAATAATAACATTTTAAACAAATTTAAAGGTCACTTGAACCCGGCGAGTAAACAGCGACCATGCTGAAGATAAGCAGTTTCATTATCTTAATTGTTCTCCTCGTCACAGATATTGCATGTAAAGAAAAACGAGAGATTGCCCCCTTGGGCGAGTGTAGACGCAGTAACTACATAAGGATATGCGACAGATGCACGTGTGGATACCCCACACTAAACAGCATCTTGAAGCTTCTACCCGGCTTCCTCGTTTCACCGAAATCACTGGACTCGAAGTCTACTGGCATTCCAATATCTGCCGTTCCCCCCTCTGAATATGCTGAAAGTCTTGAAGCGGCAAGAACAAGGAAAAAACGCCAGGCACAGACTGATAACAACAGATGCTGTGAGGGGTAGGTTTTTATTTCATTCTTAATGTTCATATTCACCACTGTATCCAGCATTGTAATCTTAATATTACCTGCAGGTAGGGAAATGATATTTATTCCGTTATTTTCTTTGCCAGTTATTCCTACTACTACTGCCCTATGATCACTGTAACAATTGACGGCCAGCAGTGGGAATCGGTTCAGGATGGTGATTGCACCAACCCAACACCCCAGGGACTATTTCAATTCATACCCGTGAAAGTATGTGTAATAAGGTGAGTTAAGAAAAGTGTATAATATCTCTATGGTGAGTGATAAGTACTTTTCGACCAGTTTGTTAAGGTAATATAAAATAAATAATACAATAATAATAATAATCTTAATAATTACAACTATTCATGCATCGCAACAGAAAGCGATTGGATTCACTGAGAGCAGTAAAATGGAAATATAATAAACATTTGTAGATGACGTTATACGATAGTTAAATAGAAGTTATAAATAAAAGATAATTGTGGTTATGTGAGACACATTTTGGCATATCAAGAACATTATAAGAATAAGTTCAAGTTGAGTGGTTCTATGATCTCCAAAAGTTTCCAAGGTCCAAGGAACTTGTTTTAGAATAACATTGTATTCTCGACGTTGGCTCAATGTACTTTGGCACATTAGCATTTGGAATAAGGGTCTCTTTTAATATGACGTTATTCTATATTCAGCGGTTCTGACTGCAATCAGTTACAAGGCAAATGCTGGGAGGAGTATCGTAATTTCCCCGTACTGGTGGAAAGAGTGGACTGTCCAGGAGAATTCAGATTCCATCAGCTCTCCATGCCTGTTGCGTGTCTCTGCCTTAACGTCTAATAACGCAAAAGTAATAGTGACTCATTCACCGGGAACACTTCCGCATAGCGGTCTACTACACAAATCATTTTACATTTTATGACACTTTGGTCCACCATCATTCATTATTATAATGAAAAATGATAATGTGGATAATGGATATTCAGGTCGAGTGTGTTATGCATACCATTTTACTGTAAGTAGATGATTCACAACTGCAGCAATGTCAGTTTTAAAAACATCAGAGTGATTCCAAATTAAGCAGTGCTTCAACGTAACCTTTTGGTTGTTAAAAAGTTGTGTAGGGGCCTACATTTTCAAGCCCTATACTGATTAGATCAAATTTACAGTATTTATAGATATGTATGCGAGCGTGCAAGCGTGTGAGCTTGAAAGTACATTTGACTAGATAGATATAAAATGTCTTTACCTTAGCGAACTAGATTCTTACATATTTTTTTTTTATTTTTCAAAAGGAAATATTTAATATTGTTGTGAAGTGAGTACATTTTAATGGCAATACAAATGGAGGGTCGTGATCCCTCATTTACGTATTTTTTATTTGTTTTAATTATTTTTATGTTACTTTCAGGTTCAACTTAAGTTAAAGGTCAATAAACAGTGTTTGTAAACCAATATTTGTTATACTTTATTTGTGTACTTATTTATTTATTATTTATTATTAGGCCTATGTGGTACTTGTTTGCATATTTGCTATACTTTATTTACTTTGGTAGATCTACATGTACGTACTGTATATGGCACTTACCCCCACACCCCCACACTCTTGCCCATCCGCCTTTGGACATCCGGTTCGTTGCTGTATGTTTTTCAAGGATACACACTTATGTTGAATGCATATCCCATCAGACCAGGTCACCCCGTTGTCCAATGTAAAGTTACACGGGGATCCGTCGTCCACCAAGCCAGGATCACGAACACCAGCATCCACTTTAAATGTAACCGAGCTGAAATATGAACACTGCACAATTTAAAGGGAAGTTTTCCTTAATTTTAAAAACATCCGATTGATTAAATATTGGTTAATTAATGTTGTGTTTTCCGAACTGAAATAAGAGTTGATGTCACTTATAACACCTATGATAATCTTATTCAATGTACCGGTACAGAAATAAATTGAATTACCTGCAACTGGACCCAACTGCAGTTTTGTCGGCTGATTTTGATACAACACCAAATCTTGGTTTAGGTCCTGTATTTTGACAGTGGAGGGTACCACAGCTGACGTCACTGAAATAAAAACATTACCGTCTCTGAACGAAAAGTAGTCCTATATAAAATATTAACATTCTATAAAGAAATCAGCGATGTCCCCGATCTTGCATTTCAAATAATTTGCCCCTGTTATAAAAAAAAAAAAAAAAAAAAAAAAAAAACAACTTTGGTACGCGTGGTAAAAAATGCCCCGATGGTCCTATATGATTAATTACTATTATTTCCATTCTGTTCAAACAATAAAAATTGCACACCTTGTGTTACACTTGACATAAGTATTTCCTTCACTGCCACAATTGCCAAGTTCAGTTCCACCCTTGTTTAAAATATGATAACATTCATGTTCCGAATTTTGAGCTCCTGCAAATAAATAAGAGAAATGTCACTGAACGCCGTGCGTCTTTGGAATTTACCCATTTATTTCAGGCTCGTAGCCAGGGGGTGGGGGGGGGGGGAGGAGGGGGTTTCGGGGGGTTCGAAAGAACCGCCCCTTTTGTCAGGAAAAGGTCCAATTTTATCTAGATACACATAAGTTTTATTGTAAAAGATCCACTTTTTTCAGAAAAAGAACCCCCCTTTTGAATTTGCTGGCTACGGGCCTGCATTCCATAACCATTACCTTTGGGTTAAATGTATTTATAGCTTCTACATGTAGCTATAGTCTTTTAAGATTCGCTTTCAGAATATTCAAAACTGCAGTAACAGGCATTTATCTACAATACTGAATTTACCTTGGCCCCAGATTGTTTTACACTGTTCGAGTTTAGATCGGCACTTTCCGCGGAAACAGTAGCCGGACGAGTCGGTGTTTGTACAGGTGTGTAGGTCTTGTTTATACAAATCTGCTGGACACTTAAGTCAAAAGAGACAGTTTATTTAAAAAAATATAAATATAATTATAAAAATTTTAAAAAGTGTTGATATGCGTAAACTATATACTGAACAGCTTTCTAACAATACTTCCTTGCTACAATAACCACGCAATTCTCGGGAAGACGCCAAATCACGACTGCTGATACGTCTTTTATTTGTCTTTAAGAATTAAACATGTAATATCAAACTTGATTTTCACAGCCTATAATATTTTCAAGTGTCTTGCTTTTTTTAGTGTTAATGTACTGCAATGTAGCCTACCTCGGCAGAACAGCCGTCACATCTATCTTCTATATCACAGTCATTTTGTGCTTTGCGGCACACCGTCTGGGCTTGCCTGACCTAGAACAACAGTAAACTTGTTTTTTAATTCTACTGCATTGTATTACTACTACTTATACTACTACTATCATGATAATAACATCACTATAATTTGATTCTGATATATATATATTCCACAGCACTGAAATATTTTTGTCAGCAGATTGGTATTTCGTCTTGTGTACGAAACTTTAGTATTAGTTAATGATAGCTAGATTAATACTAATCCTGATAACGACAGAATATCTTATCAGTCCTAACATTATGATACGATTCTCAGACGGTTTCATTCGAGATTGCGTTAGGTGTTCCTTTTGTAAATCAACAGCAATTTACCTTACAGTTGAGACAACAATCTCCAGTGGCACATTCTGCCTCTGGCTTGAGTGTGCAGCCGAAGTTACAGCATTCATCATTTTCACATTCCTGCAGGGAAATACATTGCTTGTGCTTTTATTACAAATTAGTGAGAAGAGAGTCATACGACCCTCTTTTTAGACTTAGAAGTATTCTATTGAAATGAGCTTTTGCATACGCAGGCGTTCACAGTTTCGTCGTTAAAGTTAAAAAAATCAGTATTAATTCTTGTTTGAATAGTAGGCCTACTATTGTAACCTCTTTGATAGTTAAGATATTTGATTGCATTTTAAGATAAAACAACGACCACACCTCTTTCGTCCCACAGTCACATAACTCCCCGTCCTCATGTATGCCATTCCCGCACACAGGGCCATCATAAACCTGGAAGATACATTGTAGATCTAATCCATTTTATTATAATATCAAAGACATTCGGACAAAAATAAAACTTAATGAAACTCGTATAAACTTGATTGATAATACTGAAGGAAATATAATACTTTTTATTATGATATTCACCAGCCTAGGCTTATCTTTAAGACATTCTCCCCGTCCTTCCGCCATCAGTGATGCAAAAACCTGCTTGCTGCAACTGCTGAATTTAGTTGGACCGTACCTAATGGGAGAAAAGCGAAAAGTTCAAACACAAGCGATCAGAATATAGACAAGCAAGATATACTTAAATACTTAAATGTCTGCATATAAAAATACAAGGATAAATCGACGCCACGTGTCTTACTATTAAACAAAAATGAAGCAGTCGGTGGTATTTGAAGATTGTAATGACGATTATAAATAATATTATGACGATTATAAATAACGAAGAAGTTGCAAGGCTATGTTTACGATGATTAGACGATTTCGTAATAGACCTAAGGTGCAGAATTGGAAAGTCTTTAACTTTCTTTTTCTCTTCTTTTTTATTTTTTGTCTGTTGTTTTATATCTCCGCACAAATCTTACGTGGTATCAGCGGCCATGACACATCGGTCTATCCCGTCTTCACACGTGCAGTTCTTTAGGTCGTGTACAAACCCTAGCGTGTGACCCATCTCGTGAGCGACAATGGACGCTGTTCTATTCAGCCCTTCTCTGTACTGGTTTACCCCGGCAGTCGTTCCCTCACATATCCCTCCCACAGACGCATATCCAGTCAGAGTCCCGTGGAGGTCTTTGCCGCTGGAGTCGAACAATTATTTTTGTAAGATCATCAGCTTTTATCTTGGATAATTAAAATTTGAGAATTCAATTTTATCATTAAATTCCTTCTACAATTTTTTCTGGGGGGTGGGAGGAGTGCAAAATTATCTGGTTAAAATTACAGCCTCCTTCTTTAATATCAAGAATGTAACCAATTAAGTATTGCGGTATCAGTAACGATAGGACCTACAACTACATTTAGCTCCAATCGTCCTACATGCATGTTTTTTTTTCACTGAAATTTTCACATTCACTTTCCGCTAAGGAAGCTATTATAGTACGTGTAAAATAAATGTATTTTAAGACTCGTGGGACTAACAACATCACACGATCGATGTTAATTATGGAAATATATTGGTTTTAAAGAATTTCAACACTTCACTCGCTTATTACCACTTTCAATTTACCGATATTAACGCACACAGCGTCTTACCCACCTTGATGTAGATTACACGTAATAAACATTTATAATATGAGCTTGTGGTTATCAACCTACGTGACAAGCATAGCGGTATCATGGCGAACTCCCCCTGTCAAATTTGCTTTTCTGTAATTGATAAAGTTTTGCAGTAATGTAGTCGGATCGGTATCGACATCAATCTCATCGCCCTCAGACCATACTTCTTGTCCAACAAGTGCAACGCCAACACCCAGTGATTGGTAAATCTGGATGATTAGAAACAAATAATTAATGTTTTGCCTGTAAATTAACGTAGAAGGTACAAAATGTTGAGATGGGGTCCAAATATGATAAGTTGACACTAACAGTGATAGGTTATCTTGTGGTATTCCATACGAGCAAGTTAACACGAGAGGTCAGTGTCAAGCCTAGTCTTATAAACAAACCCAGTGATCATTTAGGATTTGTACGTCAGCCCAAGAAGAAAAATTATTATCTTTTTACAAGTTGATTAAGTTTACGTATCTAATAGCATCATTATCTTGAAACAAGTGTTAAAGGAATGATACCTGGTCTATCTTAGTGGAGAGATCCTGACCAAACTGTATGGCATTTTTCAAGTCTCCTTTAGCAATATCTGTAAACTAATGTCAAACTGGAAACGTATATTGTATGTCGCATAATCAAAATATATACCAGATAGGTTATCCGATAAGGTTTTGTAAATTTTATCCAATAAAAGTTTTAAAACTCGTTAAATAAAAGCCCACAAATCTATTTCTAGTTCTCTGAAATGAAATGTCTACTGGGTACTTACGTATGTATAATCAAGGATCAGGAAAAGTTCGATAAGATTTTCTTCGGCGCTTCTCTTTTTTCGACTGAATATCTACAAAAGCATTTTAACAATATGATTTACTTCAATAAGTTCTCACCGCAACCTTAGGATTTGTATTGCGGCTGTTCCTCCATGAAAATGAATGTTATTTCATAATAGATAGACTGACAAGACCACATACCTAAATGTACACATGTAATAGAAACTAGTCGGCAAATTTGATAAAAAAGGAAAAATTAAACAAACAAAAAAGTTTCAAACTTGAACACATTTTGCAATAAAAATCTATGTTACTCGTTATAGTTATTAACAAACAAAAACACAATAAACACAATAATATCCCTTTGTAAAAGAAAAAATTGCCAGTTACGTGGCAAATGGAAATACGCAAAGTAGCATAAAAACTTCGATGCCTTTTGTCAAAATAACCAGATTTTGCTTATTTTTAAATTAATGTGCATTTTATTGAACAGAACCACTCAATTTATTAAAAGTGAACAAAAAAAAAAAAAAATTTATTATTTTATTATTTTATTAAAATTTATTAAATTTTAAGACCAGAACAACAGCTACCTGTATGTCGCCGCTGATAACAAGAGCAACTGTCAAATGCGAGGTAATCCAAATTTGTTTGAATACCCGACAAAACAATGTGTGTGTATGAAGATTTTTAAAAAAACGATTATTGTATAAAAAAACCTTTGAAACAGAACTGAGATATGAGCTTACTGACAGGGAGACAACATGTGTAAAACAAAGCGCGGTGCCATGATGGCGTACATATGATTACATTTTATACAACATGCACAATTTGATAAACGAAGCAGCTGTGATATTAGCTCTCTGATAATCAAACTACGTCGACGTGCACAAATAATCTCAGCCGTGATACGAACAATTACCTAATGGATATCAAGCTAAATTAACTAACTTTTGGGTGAACTGAACTTAAAAATGGAATGCTCAAAGGGGAATCGACTACACTGAACTATTTCACTCCATACTGACATAATGTTAATATTTGGTCATCTGAATAATATCTATGACCACCCAATCGCACTGTGCTATGGGCAAAAGATTATTAATAATAACTTACTTCTTGGTCACTTGCTTTAATCACTTGTCTTTTGAAAGAGTCCTTTCCGTCACCATCAAAGGCCGTTCCTTGATATTTTCCTTATAATAAAAAATAATCATATATAAAGTTTTTTTTATAACTTTCACAAAATCCAAAGGCACACAGCGTTCAATGTTATTACTAAAGGAAAGTTATTTGAACAAGCAAAACAATCTGCATATAAATAAAAATCATAACATGAACGATTTTTAAGCAGTCTATCCATTTTTCTGAACCTCAAAATGCGCGCTCCACTTATAAATTAATTAACAGCACTTAAAAGTAAAGATAGCACATCGAAACGTTAAGAATCATACCTTGAGTAGCCAACGCTATATCAAGAACAACGAAAACGACAACAAGAAGGCAGGAACAGCCAACAAGACGCATTGTGAGTACCGATACACTATCTATTTAGAAAAGTACTGCAGCAACCCAAAGGCATCTCTACCGTTGTCCTAATCTGACCAGATTGCACGTGTAAGCAGCCCCTGCTTTAATACAATCCGAGGTGATAATTGATCACCCTTTATCGATTTTAACCGACCTCCTGTCAATTTTGAAATATTAGAATTTTGTTAATATTGGAAACCAGAAGTATACGTGCCGTGTTGACACTGCGTATCTCAACACCGGTGTCAACACATCCCCGGCAAGTTGCAACGCCGCCTAGAGATATCCATAGCAGGTATTGTTTTGGGATTCAAATAAATTGAATAATACAACTAACGGTAATGAAGTTAATAAATAACAACTGAAAAGAGCGCTCTGGATATTCTGATTGTGTTGTCCTACCTATATACCTACGCGTAAAGTGGAGTAGGAAGTAAAACTGGCTGGTAATTTTAAGCTGGAAGTGAGGGCAAAGAAGTTTTTTTCAAGTTTTGTGATCAGTCAAATAATTTACCCGCTACTGGGGAATAGATTGCAAGCATATGTGTGGGGGTATAATTTCTGTTGAATGAATGTATGACAGAGCGACTTAACGCTAAAAATAGGGACCATTCCCACAGATATTTGGATCGATCTATCTCCCTGGGGAGTCTCACTAAATTGTTGTCGACGTAACCGGTTTAAATGTCTGTCACGCCTAGTAAAGCTGTAAGGAGGCAATTATCTTTACCCCCCCCCCCCCCCAGTTGATTCGGTAGGCGTGATCTGTCTTAAATTTGTCATTGATTGTCAATTAGTGGTCTTGAAAATGGTGAGTTTTCCAAACTAGAATTGCATAAAATTGCAAATCAATTGTCATTCTCCCTTGCTTGTGACTTCAGTTCAGATAAGAGGATGTCGTCATTGCCATGGCATTAATGCATACCGGGGTCTAGTAGGTCAAGTTTGATGTAGTGTTGAATGTTTGTCAACTTGACAATAAATCATCTAAAAAAACCTATAACAATAGTGAAAAAAGGACGAATCATTCCAAAGTTATCGTGTTTCATTAAGGCTTAGGGAGCATTCGGATAGACCCATCGTACTGTAGTACCTGGACCAGTCCAACTTTGACTCTAAATGTAATCAGTGGAATTAGCTTTAAAGACTGTCACGTCTCCTCGAGCAGGTAGGGGTATTTATCTTTTTAACACTATCAACGTTTTTTACCCCAAGCTGCTTCAGGATGCGTGTCACACATTTGAGCTGATTCCACTGATTGCACTTAGAAAGAATGCCCCGCACAGTTGGACCGACCAAGCTACATTGTACTACGTTAGGTCTATCTGAATGCAGTCTACTATCTGGTTTAAAAGGCGCTTTAAGAGCACTTGAACAGCGATATAAATAATTGAAAGTCATTTATTTTCTTTTTAAATCCGCTATTGACAATAGGCCTACTACATAATAAAACATAATCAATAAAAATCAATACTACATAGTAAAAGATATTTGCAAAATGTCTTTAACTTAGAATGTTAGTTGAGTTAAATTGATCTGATGACCATTGTTAAGATTAATTCATAATGGACTGTGTCTAAAGGACGAGAGATATTTGCACCCCCGATATAAATTAATTGAAGCGTTTGGTCACCGCAAAATGGTCTTGGGTAGTGGTATTTCCCCGCCCAATTACGTCAATTTGAGTGAACATGTTATACTATGAGTACAAAACCTTTTTTCAGCTGGAGGTAATGCATGACATGGAGAAAGAATGTGTTGCAAGAGGGAGAGAGGGATGATAACGTAAAAAGTTCATTTTTTTAAAATGCTAACCTCCATTAGGAGGTCTTGAAAAATTAGTCTATAGACTCATTGTATTGTTCCTCTCCACGGAAATCTTTAGTAAAAGACGAAAGATTTATTCGTGGATGAAGAGAAACCAGAGTGAAGACCTCACTGCCCTTATCGGTTATATACTTCATTTTAGTAGCATTTGAAATGGGAATGACTTTGCATAATTATTCTAAAAAAACAGCTTCATATATTTTGTGCTATTGAGATAATACTTGAGACGTTTTTAATTTCTCTAAAGCAGTAACATGTAATATTTTAGTTTGGGAATTACAAACAATTCCATCTTTGGTCCTTTTGAAAAGCTCGTTCTTTCTAATGTCATGTGCCGACGGGTCGGGTGCGCAGTCGGTCGCCAATAAAAGGGGTCATGCATGTAGGTGTTGTACGTTCATATTTAACATCTAAAACACCCGGACGCTCTCAGTGCCAACAGTAAACGTGTTTTGATATTTAAAATTCACCTGAGAAATTGTGGGCGGATGTCGTATTTGGTGAAACGCTTGGTGATTATCATGTCAAATTAGATAAATTTAAGTTATAGCAACGGTTTAGTTAGGCCCTATATTGGGACATGATCATGGCCAAATGGAAAGTGTGTTGAAAAGAAAAATAATGTCAAAATAAAGAGTTGGGTCTAGTTCTTTTGGTTAGGCTACCGGCAGACTTCTATTCACGGATGCGATCCCACCATACTGCTCGACACGGGACCTTTTGGCTGCTGCGGTCCTCTTTGGTCAACCTGGTCGACCAGACCTCCGTCCAGCTTACCATATTGATGCCGAGCTTAGTGCGGACACCCGATCGCCATAGACAGACGACCGGCAGAAGCCCTAACCTCACACCATCCACCAGCTCAGACCTCTGAACAGCCAGATTACAGGAGCCCGCCACAGCTCCCAGTCGGTTGTTGATGACAATATTGTTATAATTGAAAGTGCTTTATTTTCTTTTAAACACTTAAAAATCAATACTGCATAATAAAACATATTTGCAAAATGTCTTTTACTTAGAATGTTAGTTGAGTTAAATTGATCTGATGACCATTGTTAAGATTAATTCATAATGGACTGTGTCTAAAGGACGAGAGATATTTGCACCCCCGATATAAATTAATTGAAGCGTTTGGTCGCCGCAAAATGGTCTTGGGTAGTGGTATTTCCCCGCCCAATTACGTCAATTTGACTGAACATGTTATACTATGAGTACAAAACCTTTTTTCAGCTGGAGGTAAGGCATGACAAGGAGATAGAATTTGTCGCAAGAGAGAGGAATGTAAACGTAAAATGTTCAATTTTTTTTCAATGCTAACCTCCATGAGGAGGTCTTGAAAAATTAGTCTATAGACTCATTGTATTGTTCCTCTCCACGGAAATCTTTAGTAAAAGGCGAAAGATTTATTCGTGGATGAAGAGAAACCAGAGTGAAGACCTCACTGCCCTTACCGGTTATATACTTCATTTTAGTAGCATTTGAAATGGGAGTGACTTTGCATAATTATTCTAAAAAAACAGCTTCATATATTTTGTGCTATTGAGATAATACTTGAGACATTTTTAATTTCTCTATAGCAATAACATGTAATATTTTAGTTTGGGAATAACAAACAATACCATCTTTGGTTCTTTTGAAAAGCTCGTTCTTTTTAATGCCATGTGCCGACGGGTAAGGCGCGCAGTCGGTCGCCAATAAAAGGGGTCATGCATGTAGGTGTTGCACGTTTATATTTAACATCTAAAACACTCCGACGCTCTCAGTGCCAACAGTAAACATATTTTGACATTTAAAATTCACCTGAGATATTGTGTGCGGATGATAGGCCTATATTTTGTCTATTTATGATAACACTTTGGTTTATATTATATCGCTGAAATATAGGCCTAATTTTTTTTATTCACAAGTTAGGCCCTATAAGTTCTCTTTTCGCTCAAAAGTAAAAAATACAAAAAAGTAGGCCTAATTTATAATAAATGTTACCTTATAGTCTATAGGACTACTTTGGATAAATATGGGCTATTGGGGGGACCGGGGATAGTTGGACCCCGGGGTAAGTTGGCCCCCCGTAAATTTATGAAAAAGTAGGCCTAACTACGAGTAAAAAAAATTGGCCACATAGGCCTTCTCTTGTAATGTGACCGTAGCCTACAATGCTAAGGAAGTGTCGAACGTTAAAAAGTTTTGCTTAAGCTGTGAGTCGAAATAAACAATTTTTGCACCTAAAAGTAATTTTGTTTAAGAGATTTGAAAATCTATTTTCATAGGCTTTTGATCGAATATATTAGGCCTATAGGCCTCCTATGTATTGAGCAATGTCTCTCCTGATGAAATAAATTAGTTTGACAATTCATTTACTAATTTTAAGATGTTTTTTCCACGAAACTGCAGGCCTGCTATACAAATAGGCGTATGACGAGAGTCGAAGTGAACGCTGGGGTGCAATTTTGCTGTAGGTCTAATTTAAAAAGATCTAATTTCAAAAAAAGATAAAAATTAGGTAGTGATTTTCCAAATTAATTCTTTGAATTGCAGAGACATTGGTCAAAGTCACCACCCAAGTCAATATTAATTTACATCAGAAATAAGAGAGTAATGGGAGCAACAGAATCGTTTCACTGAATGCTGCAGGTGCGCTGCAGAATTTTCAGAAGAAAAGCAGACGATAATGACGTCAGAATATCAGCCGCGCATCCAAAATCGGTCATCTCGCAAGTTATCGCAGAAGCCATATTCACACAGCTGGCTGGGAGGAAGACTGACTGATATAAAGTGCGTACGATCGATGGCTCAAGAACGATCGGCTCTATTGCTGCATAGACAGCTTGGAGGTAATGATATTTAACATACCTACATCTGTGTTGAAAAATTTTAAGATCGGTGTATAGTTTCTTAATATAAAATGTGTTATTTATGTGTGTTGTCTTTGTGTTGTCACAACCAAAAGAGTTTGCCTGTGTTTGGACTGATCTGACCTTGTCCTCGGAACAAATTGCAGGAAAATGACTTTAAACAACATTTGGACCTAAAAAATAATATCATGGACACAAATTTCATACGTTTCACACAGTTGTTGTAATACTTTTGTCAACTGATGAACTAAATGTGACTCATTTTTGTCTGGCTTGTCCAGACTACATCATACCTATTGTCGTCCTCATACCCCCCCCCCCTCCCCTTTGTTTTATTGACAGTGAAATGGTATTGTATTTTTTTAATTTGTATAAGAACAGATACTTCTTAGGTATATGTAATGACAGCCTTTCAGCCATCTAGGCTAGTTATGTTGGAAAAACAAAATTCTGTCTAGATAAAAGCTGATCACTGTAATCAAGATTATGATATATAAATTACATGTTACTTTACTCTATTCATAGGTCTTAAAGATGGTGAGGGTTTTGGGAATAAATGTGGAAAAGATGTCGCCAAAATGTGATGTTGTATTGCCCAGTGAATTTAAAACGACAGAAAAATTCCATCATAGTTCATTGGACACGTCCTTTGTTATCATCAGTTTGATTAGAAAGACGGAGATATAGGCCTTCTTATCTATGCAGATTTCCTCTATGAGTAACTGTGATTTATTTTGAAAATCTGTTTCTCCACTGTCCAAGTTTATTATCCAGCCATGAACTGATTAAGCCACATTTAATGTAGCTATGAAACTAATAACCCACTAGCGTACTTTTCAATTTAATCCATGTTTACTTTTTCAGAGCTTATGAAGAACCCAGTGGAAGGGTTCTCTGCAGGATTGATTGATGATGATGACATCTACAAGTGGGAAGTATTGATCATAGGACCACCTGATACACTTTTGTGAGTAGTTAAACATTTATGGTCATTGTCCTATTTGGGTCACTGATCAATGAAAACAAGGCATTTGTCTTTTCCTACTTTGGTAGCCTGAGGCTAACCTAGTGATGTTAAAAGATAAGGAAAATTGTTCATAAAATTGACAAGTATACCATAGACACTGTTACATAAACGTTACATTGATGATATTTGATAAATTAAAGGTATACAGCTTATTATTTGATATTCTATTCAGTAGGTAAAACCATTTTGTTTATTAAAGGTTGGAAATGTGTACATTTTTGGTATGATACATAGAGATTTTGGAACATCTTTCTACTCGTGTCTTAATTTTGATCCACTCCAAGTGAGTATGAAATATTTGAAAATATTTTCCATGTTATAATGAAGATATATGAATATCTTTGTCATTTTAGTGAAGGAGGATTTTTCAAAGCTCACCTGTACTTCCCTAAAGATTATCCTCTCAAGCCACCCAAGATGAAGTTTATATCAGATGTATGGCATCCAAATAGTAAGTGAATTCAGCCAGTGAAAATCCTTAAGACAAGGTTCAGCTTTTGGCACTTCCCACCTCACCTTGTACATTTTTCCTAGAGTGTGTTTTATGGTGCGCACTAAGTGACTTGCTTAGTATACCCTTCAAGTTGATGTCACTTATGCTGTGTGTGAGCAGTGATAAGAGTTAGTTTTGCACCCAACAGAATTCAATAAGATCATTCTCAGGTGCCATGGTCTTTTGGTAGATTTCATGACATACGTACTAGTGGAGTTTAAATCATATTTACCCAATTTATACCATGCGTAGCACATTTTAGTCTCATCATGAAGCCGCTTTGTATATTTGTACATGTGCACAGTAAAATATATTGTTTTTTTTTCAAACCTTCAATATGAAAAACGGAATTTATCACCTTTTCAGTTGATAAAAATGGTGATGTTTGTATCTCAATTCTGCATGAGCCAGGAGATGACAAATATGGGTATGAGAAGGCCAATGAAAGGTGGTTACCCATCCATACTGTAGAGACCATTTTACTCAGTGTTATATCTATGCTAGCTGATCCAAATGATGAATCTCCGGCCAATGTTGATGCAGCAGTAAGTATTTGATAATGTGAAAGTAGCAGTTTTAAATGGCATTTTTTGTGTTAGTTTTATTGAGTAAGTCTTTTTATTAACCTCATTTGCCAGGTAAATAGTTTGAAAATAGCTCTCTGTAGAACTTCAGATAATTTTGATTAACATGAAAAAATTGTAATTTGGTAGTATGTCTGACAAATGTAAAATTAAGATTTTGAAGTATTTCATTCACCTTGAATAGCACCTTTGTCTGCATGTAAAGTACTTTATCAAAATTGGCTAGTTTAAGAATTCTTTGTAATAGACAATTTTCTATTTTTCTTTGCAGAAAGATTGGAGGGAAAACCCTGCTGAATTTAAAAAGAAAGTAGCCAGATGTGTTAGAAAAAGTCAAGAAGAGTAACACTAGACAAATATCCTATAATCAATATGCAAGGCAGGTGCTCGATACACTACAATTTCTAAAGAAGGCTATATTTTAGAAGTACTCAGAGTTGTAACCCTTCAATCTGCATTTAATTGGACTGAGACTTCAGTAAATTCCATTGTACTCAAAAACCTTGAAATGAAATGAAATGAAATGACTTGACAAAGTTCATTTTTTGCAGGCTATGGATCTAACCTCGTATTCTTCTGGAGTAATGCATATGAAACATTGCAGCAATAAGTGACGTCACAGCAGGTTGTTATCTGCACATCAGTCACATAGTGGGACTATACAACAGACATTCTTTATGAAGACTCCCACTGTTCAAGTCAGGGAAACATTTACTTGATGCTGCAGGTACCATAACTCCATACACTAACAGCAGAACAACCATCTGAGATGGATTTAAGTTATACTTGTTATAAGATATTTGATAGCTGGCCGTTAGCTTCACCTTACTTGGATCAATTAACAGTTAAGTTTCAGTAATTGTTATTTTATGTAGATTTTCCCCACAAGTTCCACATGTCTTGGTTATTTATCAGTTCATGGTGTGGACTGTAAGAGCGGTGCTATGTCATACCAGCAGCTCAGAGATGGACCACAAATATGCAGGTACTCTAAAAGTGAGTGAGCATTGAAAAAGTGAGTGATACATAGCCACGTGAAAGCTACTTAGACTGTTTGATTAATACAGGCAAACATGAGGCATACGTAGTATGCCATAGTTCTGTGCTGCTGGTATGGCTCCTGACAACGATTCACAAATTCCTCCGTTTTCGTGAAAGAGTGTGCTGGGAAGCACAATAACTGTATATTCACATGTGTATATAATTTGAGGTTTGCGTGGTTATCAGTCATAGTAAAATGAACAGAGCATCACTTCCAGTTTAGAAATTGGGGGAAATGCATGTTTCAGTTTGATTTTGGCAAGTTAAAAACTTCAGGCACAACAAGACCTTGCTTTGTAAGCAAAATATTACCAGACCTTTAGTAAATTTTGATATTCTGATGTAATGTGAATAGTTTTTTCATTTTAAAACTGCATAAAAGAAGAGCTATGGATTCACTGACTAACACATTGTCATATGTGTATTGCAATAACAGTACCTCGATATAAGATTACTTCTTTGACATTTATTCAGTTGGAAAATTGTTAAGTTTGAGAAGTGGTGGGTGTTGCATACATTTGTACAGTATATTCACGTTCATATCCATTGTATAATTAATATCTAGCACTGAACTGGGATTATTATTATTATTATTTGCAGACAGGGTTTGTTTAGAATTGTGCTTGATTTAGTTGATAGTGAAATAGAAGTGCGGCTGCTGTGCAACCGGCTGGTTCGTTTTAGCAATCTATACTTCAGCAAAATAAGAGTGTGCCAGATTATAAATTGCTACCAACTAGTTGATGATTGCTTTAAATTTAGTCCCTGTAGTTTATAAATATTGCTGGTCAAATTGAAAGATTCACATTTTGTGATATCTATAATATTGTTCGGGAATAGGTTTCAAGCAATCACCCAACATTTTATATAGGGATTGTTGGTAGTCACTTGGGACGAATATTGTGTATAGCCTCTACGAATCCTTTTAATGTTCATGTTGAGACTTGAACTGGCAAGCAAAGTTCATTTGAATTTATTGTATTCGAATCCAGCCATCCTCTGAATTTAAGCCTTGTATGAAGTATTATTGTACCACCACGTGCTGTAAGTTCTCTGGCACTCCTACAGGCACCAAGCACCTGTCTCGTACCTCTCAATGCTTGGGCTCTGAGACAACAATTTAAAATTTTTGGTGAACAATTGCCAGTCCCTGGAAGCTTATCATATACCTTTTTGTCAGGCAATACTCTAGCCTTGATTTGGCAGTCATTTTTGTGTTAATTATGACATTATTTGTTTGGAATTAGACTTAGCGAATGAAATTGTAGCAACTTGGATTACTATTGTATTGTCATACACCATATAATGTACATTAGACATTAAGTATTTTATCATAAGCCAAGTTGGAGATGGTGGAGTGTAACTTGTCATTTTGATCTTTCAAGGAATATGTAAAACATTCTTTGATCTCTTGATTCTTACCATTCTAGTGTCTAATATAATATATACAAAAACTGTATTTTTGCATTTAAAGTCAATAAATTATGAATGATTACAAGAAAGAATAAGTTTATTAATTCACTTGACACAATATTATTTGAGCCATTTAACCTAGAAACGTTGACACTAGAGATAGTGTGAAATATTTATGGACTTTTAAGCAAGCTGTCTAGAATATGTTTTACCTTGAAGTGAATAATATTTTTAACATAAATAACAAATAAGGAATGTTGAAGTGTGTCAGATCTCTAGAGATCACAGTTGTCTTGAAAATAAACTGTCCTGCAGTTTTTGAAAAAAAAAAGTTGAGCTTAATTGGCAGGATCACACTATCCTTAACAAAACAAAACAAAAGTTTTACTGTAATAGTAAACTTGCCTTGAGCTCACCCATTAATAAATAAAACTTAAAAAGTGCATCCATTTTGACATTTTGGTTGGTTCTAAACACACCACACCATCAGTTTCATGGACCTGTATTAAAAAAACTCCCAAAATTCCTATTGCCTAAAAATGATTACCCTGTAAATGAAATCAATACTTTTCTTTAACAAGTTTGGGGTGTCTACAGAAGGTAATATTTTGAAAAAAAAATTCAATTTAATCATGTTAAATGGTCAAACTGCTGAGTATAATTTATTTTTTTGGAGAAAAAACACCCTCCAACTCATCTTTAGGTCATAATTTCATTAAAATGACACAAATAAGAAGTGAATTCATATTTCTAATGGTGATTACAGGTTGTAAATATTTTTTGTCATCTCCATCATCTGCTATCTTTCAGGAAATACTTCTAATCACTAATTATCATTTCATATCTTCTATCTGGCAAATGGAGATCCACCTGAAAAACAAAAAGTACCACATAAAATGTCTGAGCTCACCAATTTTATCAAATTTCATACAGTAACATTTTAAAGTGGTGAGGTTAGTAACTAGTGTTGCAAAAAGAGTGAAGCAGGCACATGACTATAGTAATTCTACTTCAAAAAGAAAATACGAAATGGTCATAAAGTGAATTGCTTAAATATTTTATCCTGTCAAACACTGGCCAGTTAACTAATCGGCTGTTTGAACACTGTTTATGAAACACAATTTTTACCATCTTTTAGTTAAGGGATGTTAGGAGAATTTATCCACTGGTTAGTGCTAAATGTCCTTCATGAAAGTGGGCCCAGGTGGCTAGCAGGATTTTGAGAAACCATTTCCCAGAAATCCTCATTCACACTACTGTAATTATTCATATTGTGACCTGATTCACTATCTATCCATTTACATGACCATAGTGTGAATGGGTTATGTCTATCAATCGTGAACTTAATTGTACTTTTCCTCTTACCATCTTAGATATCCACAGAAGGCACTGTCATTCCCGTTTCCTTTGATGATTTCCACAGAAGTGCTCTCTGAAAGGGGCAAAGAGAGTAAGATAAAAATTCATCAGAAGACACTACATCAAGGTAGGATAATTTACTTTATAATTCATCTAGCAAAGTAGGATAATTAAGTTTATAATAAAGTCACCTGTTAAATCACTCATTCTTTCTTAAAAAGACCATACTCTTCCACATTATATATATATATATATATATTTGCACCTTAGGCTGTATTTATTAACTGGCTGTTTTGTGCCACGTAAAACGAAAATGATGAAAACAGATTATGTATCTTGTATTTTAGGCTTATATAGACAGAAATAAATGTGAATGGTGGTGCAAAACCACATCACACAAATCTGAATATCATTTTCACCTGTAAACTTTTAACTTTTGATTCCAACTCTTTGATAACTTCTGCTTTCTTTCTGTTGTCATCTTCCAACATATTGACCTTGTCCTGAAACTGGTTCATTACAGCATCCTGAAATTGAAAACATGTACACATTTCTTTTTATAACATTTGGATTTTTTTCTCAACAAAAATATGCATGTAGGACAGATTCTAAAAGAAAGTGCGCAAATATCAGGCTACAAATAAATTCATGAATGTCGTCTAAATTTTTCATCAAAATATGGATTTATCTTCGTGAAATTACCATATTTTGCATTAAGACACTCTTCAATCCTGTCAATAAAGAAGACGGGTCCTGCGAGCCAATTTCATTCCCCTGAACCACCACCTTTGGTATTGCCTCAGAGCTCAAAGGTGCTGGGGTTGTTGACAGTCCTGTTGACTCAGGGCCAGATGGCTGTGGTTGGTTAAGATTCGACTTATCAAAAGATTTGAGATTCTGCAGGTCCACACCACCCGATCCGCCAGGGGTGTTGTCTCTGTAGCTGAGAACACAGTCACAGGAGTGAGACCTCAGGCTAGCCATGCTGCCCTTCTGACTGAAATAGTACAGTAGTGGTGTTAGGGAGATATACTGGTATAAGTAAACAACACACTATTGTCTGAGACTGCTGCTATAATTATGGATATAATAGTAGTAAAAAAAATCATTTTCTATCTCACACAAAGTCTAGTTTATGCATTCTTCCAAAAGGTTAAGTTAAATGAAACATTTATATGTTTGAGCATATTAGTGATTTGATCAGCACACATAAAAGTACTGACATATTTGTATCATACATGTCATACATTCCGTCCAGCACCAAGTAAATATTATGTCAAGAGAATTATTGTCCAAAATGGACTAAAAGAATTAATGTTTCCTGAGAAAATGTATGAAAGAGGAGTTGAAAGTGAGAGTGCTATATAATAAAACTAACTAGTGTGGAAAAAAATATAACAGCAAAAGCTGTGAAATGTGCAGAACTCAACATTAATTTTGTCTTAATTGTTGACTACAGAAAATTATAAGTAAAACAGACCCACCAAAAAAGAGAGCAACAAATTTGCTCAAAGGCAAAGGGATTTTGTTCATTTTTAAAGATTTTTTTTAGTACCGTGACACCATGAAATACTTGTTAATCAAAATAGAATTAATTTTCCTTTTATTGTTTGCAAAGTTCATAGCAAGTCTAAAATTCTAAAATTTAGGGAAATAAAAAAAAAATTTGCATTTGGAATTAATCCTGGAAATTTGAAAGAATAAGTCACTATTTTACATATAATTAAGTACAAAAGAAACGGGCACAGGTGGATTTCAGAAGGACAGACTTCTGGGAATGTTAAATGTACAGACACAAAAATGTCTGCGCATAAAAAGGCAACAGCAACCTGGGGCTTGCAGGTATCAGTGGCATTCCAATATCACTGTAGTGGCTACAGTCCCGTTTCTTTTCACACTTGCTGGCAATTGCATCAATTTCCTCACTAAGAGTCTTTCGAAGCTTATGGTGAGTCATCTTTTTCTTGCGTAACAGGATGGGTGTAGGCACATACTTAATTTCTGGAGGTTCAAACACCTCATCGCTGCCTACATCAGGAAGATCTTCCATGTTCTCCTCCGTCCCCTTTACTGTCAAATGTACTACTGGAGCCTGTGAAGAGGAGTTGTCCACACTGACAGAGTTCACCGCAGGAGGTGGTAAAACATTCTGATCAGGAGATGTCTCACTTCCATCACTGTCCTCCTTACTGCTAGCATCACTTCCGCACATTTCTACTTTGATTTGTATATCACAAGGCACCAGGGGTTTGGCTTGGTCGTCAGCATCCAAGTTGTTTATCTGAGAATATTCTTTTCCTTTTACAAAACGGCGCCTCCTTGAGGAGGCTCTGAGTACTCTACAAGGGCTGACCAAGTCTTCCTCATTTTCACCATCACTGCTAGTCAGTTTGTCTTTAAACTTTACATTCTTTTTGGCCTTCTTTGATGCTACCTGCCAGGTTGGTTTGGTAAGTTGGCACAAAGAAGCCGCTACGTGAACCTGATTCTGTAGCATTTTTTTCCTGCGCCTTTCTTCTATTTCTTTTAGCCTCTTTCTGCCATATTCTTGCATGAATGCCTAGGAAGTCAATTATGAGAAGAAAAGCTAATTGTGAGGCAATTAAGTGAAAACTATTAAAGAAAGGCAATGAAGATTGTTTTTAAGTAAGTGGAAAATAAAGTTAATAGAATTATCTCTATGTCATCGAAAATAGTCTAAATTAAAAGAACAAACGAATGATCTCTATTTATTTTTCCTTACTGACAGAATCAAATCAGTGTACAGAAAAACAGAAAACAGCAAAACATTGGTAAATAGATTATCTATCTCATGGCAATATTCTTTGAGAAGTTATGCATCAAACAGGAGGTTCAATTGTAAATACCATCTCTGAAATACTTTTCTTGCACAAACAATCCTTTATCTAAATACTGTAGGATAATATGAAAAAAAATTGTTGGACCAAACAAAATCAAAATTATATTGATTTACAAAAGAGGATTAAACACTGCCTTTTGAATGGATGTAAATTTTAAGATAAAAAGCAATAATACCAGTGAAGACCCTTCTAGGTAATTGTGTACTAAATGTATTTCTCTGCCAACAATTCAGCCTCCTATTTAATCCCTACGCACCATTATAGACAGCTTCTAAAATGACAAACACTGGTTAACAATGATTGTATTTTAGGGAGTCATAAAACTGAACTACGCTGGTGTATACAATATAACATGAGGAAAAAAAAAAGAAAGAAGGAAATACCAGTAGGATGGGAGAAAAACAAACATTAAGTATTGACAAGCAGACTGAACCAAAACCCTTACATATATACATACACACACCTACACCTTTGCACAGTGGATGTCCCAGTCAATGACTCTTCAGACATTGTCACATCCAACACTTGGATTGTATACCAAACCTTAACATGCACACTTTATCAAATGACACTTTGATATGTCATAAATACTGTCAGTCCTGTAACATACCTGTTTGTATAATGTCACACCTGACATATTGTCACACCAGCCTACATTGTATATGTAGCACACTAAAACATATGAAACATCACAAATAACAACTACCACACCTGATTTGTCACACTTGACACTATACGGTCTGTGCTGAATTAGTTTTGATAACAGAGTGCCCTAAATTTATATATATATATATATATATATATATTTATATATATATATATATAAATATATATTCTCCTATAAATATCATAATTTTGTAAGAGAGCTGATAGGTGTTAATGACTTAATAAAATACCTTGGTGGGAGGCTATAAACCCCCAGCAAGTTGGCTACCAAGGAGGGGGGCTGTGTGGTAACAGGATGAGCAGAACAGTCCGTCTCCTCCTCAGCCTGCTCTTGGTTATCAGGTGCACAGCTGCTCATTTTATTCTTTGCCATTATTTCATTTAATCTTCTTTTGGCAGACTCTGTCAATAATGCCTGTGCATAAAGGAAAACCCCATGCAACAACATCAAGAACAACAATTATGGCAGCTTTTTAATAGGGATATATAAAGCAACAAGAAAAATTGCCATCAAAATGCAGCATTCACACATTTATTTCTTTGCCATAAATAAAAGGAAGCTGATGAACTGAATATATTGTTTGTCTTAAATAAAGAAAAAAACTTGCAAACTTTACATAACATGCCACGACAACAGATAAAAAGTTCCAACAAAATACACATATAAAGGCCAAATATATGTTGAAGGGACATACAAATGTACCACAGAAAATCAAATGAACATTTTTTGGTAAAGTCAGTGACAAACACTGTTTTATTTGCATAAGTTTTAAATCACTTTTTCTTATACTGATGATTTCTTTCCATACTGATAGGTAAAAGTGAAAATAATGGGGCAAGTCAAAATTATGCAAATATTACTAAATATGTGTGTGTTACTGACATGATATAAATGTTCACTTTTTGCAAAAAAAAAAGGTAAACCCCTTCCTCCCCACTCCTATCACTGGTCATTAACAAGTTCTCATCCATCTCCATCTTCATTCTCATTCTTTACCTCAGCCTCAGGATGATCCTGTAGTGCAGACAACACATCTTCCCTGGACAGTACAAATAACTCCGAGTATCCCACTGACCTCACGTCTGCTGTACGCCTACAATACACAAGGGAAAAGTAACATATATATTTATATAGCTTTATTCATTGTAACGTATGCATCTACATGGATAGATGAAAATGTACAAAGGAATATATATTTATATAGGTACTCTGCATTCATTCCCTTAACTTACTCTAATAACTGGACCACTTTCTGATCTCATAAAACTCATTCACTTCTGCTCAGTTAATGAGGTTTCAGGCTATAAAGAGGTTAGTGATATATGTTACTGCAATCTTCATCCATTATAGAAATGTATGGGTAAAAATAGATTATCTTGTGTTCATACTAACAAACACCACAAATTGCTCAAAAATCAATAACAATTTCCATATAAAAACTGAAAACCACCATTAGCTAAAGTTTTTTGTCATTGATGAGTACTTGGTAAAACATTTGTATCTCTTTGCAAAACACTCATTAGAATATAGCATTAGGAATCTCTTAACAGAGTGAAAAGGCTTGTTTCATGACTGTTCAATAATTAAGACCTGGTAAGGAAAAATATACCTGTTGACCCCACCATCCAGGTTTAGAATACCAATCTCTCCAAAGAAATCCCCAGATACCATCTGTGTAACCACTTCTCCACTTTCACTGGTGCGCAGAATTAAAAAAAAAATTGCAGAATAATTTTTCCATTTAGTATAAAACATCTGTGCTACTGGGTGCACCTGCTAATGTGTACATGATATTAGACTTCATCAAAATTTTAATGGACCAGGCACAATGCTGTGTTATTGGAACTAGTTTTAAGTTCCCTGGAGGCCAAGTGAGGGATAGTAATACAGCTATTATATAAATGGATTTGCTCATATCAAGGCAGTTCTCTTCAATCTTCATCAAGACAAATATACATGCATCTTAAGGGCCCGGCGTTAACTTTGGGTATCTGATAGTTACTGTGTTTTATGGCCAAAATTAAAAATGCATTTCAGTCAGCAAATTGGTGACAGAGATTGCTTCAAATGGTGGAAACACATTGGAAACGTTCACGAAATGGTAGATCGCCCCTGGCAGGAACCAGTAGGCCAACCTTCCATTCTACTAGCTATACCACTAATGTCGAACTCTGATCTTTTTCCAGTTAATAAATCATAATCTGAATTTGATAATCATGTGTGTTAACAAAACCTGCAAATATAAATCCATCAGAACTTTTGAATATAAAAAGTAGTAAAGTAGTGTAAATATACCTGAGCACTTCTAGCACTCCGTCAGCTATAATGAACATTTCTCTAGCCACCTCGCCTTTCCTGCAGATGAGGTCCCCCGGGGTGAAGATATACGCCTTCATTTTGAGCACCAGGTCATGGAGGAACTCTGGTTCACACTCTTGAAAGATTGTCACCTGGAAAAATGAATTCAAATATTAAAAATGCTTCTTCGGATAAGGCTCAGTCAATCTGACAATGGGTATATGTATGTGCGTACTGGTATATGTAGCCTAACATTTTATATGATAAAAATGTTTAAGCCTTCGGAACACTGTCCAACCAAGCATATTTTTAGTTTGAATTCTGTGAAAGCAGCTTTAATGCCAGCATCAACTTAAAGACTAATATTTCAAAAGAAACCAATTCCTCAATATCATTCATTATCACATTTCTTCAATATCATTCATTTTCACACATAATGATTAATGTTTAACCAGCATACATATAAAAAAAATTAACTTACCTTCCGAAGAGTCTCTAGATTGACATGAAGTGCCAACTCTGTTTTCAGTTTGTCAGGTAGTAAACCCAGTGAGTTGATATCCCCACCACCACTGATACGGCCCCTTAAATAACAACAGGAATGTATTCACATAAAAGTAATCAGATAATATTTTTTAATAGCCAGGAATTTCATTAAAAGATTTTTTATACAAGTTAGGTAGACTTCCAAGTTCTTTTGCCTATACACCTGATAGCCATATTTGACAGTAATTAAAAACAATGCATTTAAGGGCGCTTTTAGGTCATATTTTTAATTTTGTTTGGTCCGAATGAAATTCAATGCAGTCTTTTGGCATTCTAACTTAACCTCTTTGCATTTGATTTTAACCACTAAATAAATGCAATTCTTTTATCATGGATTATTTGAGTCATACATATAGTTACTGTAGTAAATCAAACAAATTTATTGTAAAATAAAAAATCTACCTTTTGTAAATATGAGTGCAGAATTAAACTTCTTTTTAAATCTCTTTTACAATTGTTTTTCTTTAAAATAAGTATATCTACTTTTGAATTCAAAGCTTCATATTGATCATTTCCCTTTTTAAAGTTTTTACTGTCGTTTTAAAATTCCTTTAAATTTCCTTTTGAAATTAATAGCCATCATTTTGAGTTTATGTTATGATAAAACCTTAATGCCTTGATGTATTAGATATACAAAGTACTGTTACATATATTATGGACAGGAGTCAGGGCATGACAATCAAGCAATTGTGAACCAGTGTCAGGTACAGTGTACTAGACAAAGTGCTTGTGAATGTGCCTCAAAAGGCCTACAACTCTCTGCAAGGTCCACAAACTGGCTCTAAAATACTGCCACTATCAACAGTACAAGCATGTGGACACAATTTATCTATGACTGCGGGAAGCATGGTGAAGCTTTGAAGCTTGGACACAGTGCTGAAGCAAGTCTCTGATGGTGGACATGAATATATATTTGAGTGTGACAAGAGTGTGGAATCTCTGAGGCATTCAGACAGGTATGTCCCCCTGTGATTGCACAGGCACACGTGCAGCAGGGGGTGGAGGGTGGGGTGGGGGGCGTGATGGCTGATACGATTGGGGGCGGGGGGGGGGGGTCAAAAGAAGAGGAAGGAAGTGCTATAACAAGACTAAACAAGAACCGTGCCTTGCCTTTCATGCAGGCAACTTCTTACCTCACAATATTCCTGATTACGAGTGAAGAAAAAATATTCATTTATCTAGAATTTCATGGTTCATTTTTTAACTTTTCTGTATTCAAAATAGCTCAGGACTAGTCATATTCTATCATGCATCATATTACATAAAATTTGTGACAGGTTTTTTCCTCACTGAACCGAACAATAATGGGAGTGAAAAAGGTTTTATCTTTTATATACCACTACTTGCAGGATGTATTCATGAAAAAAAAAATAGTGGAATATTAGGGCCTTTTACCAGGCAATTTTTTTCAAGACAATTTCTAGCAGAAGCCAGCAGGAGGGGCTACTAGCTTTAGAGTAAGCCATGCATGAAATAAACAGTCCAAAATAGAAAAAGAGGTTTCAGCAAATGGTACACTGTACACTTACCTGGACCATGCATAGTCATACCATCTCTGTACACGTGTCTGCATGTCACGAGGAACATTGTGATTGCGCATGTATGCCTTGGCTCCATCCTACATACAAAACACTTTAATTTAAACATTAAATTTCCAAGTCATTATTAAGTTTATTGCTTAAGCATGAAAAAATCTACATAGCAACTGTAGCTCTATAAGCCTGTGGAGCAATTTTAAATCTCACATCCCGAGTGCAATGTCTTGCATCTCTAACACAATCCACTCCCACAGAACTCACCAGAAGTCTTTCAAATTCCAGGCGACTTGCATTCCTGTTTGCTATGACATTGCCAACTTGTCCTGAAACCCAATAAAATGAATTAATAATGGATAGAGCATGCCTTTATCAGCATGTAATAATGCTTTTTTGGCATCAATACACAGAAATTCAGTCTGTAATCATCTATAGAAATGAATTCTTTAAAAATACTACTTCTTTGCTATTCATCTTTCATCTATCAGAACCAGTTATTTAAAATTCTTTAGGCAGATTCATTTAAAGGTTAAAAGTGATTTTAATTAATGGAAGTCTGTGGTACACCTGCTGTCAATCCATTAAGGACACAGAGCAATTTTCATGATGATAAAAAAAAAAAAAAACAGAAGATTATGACATGTTCACATTAACAGCGTGTCCTTCAGGGCCTTCAACACATCATCACTATAAGCTAACATACATTTAAGCTATACCTGTGATCTACAATATTTTTTCTTTTTGCCAAACAAAGGAAATCTTTGAAAGGAAAATTCAAATAATTTGACATAATGGCTAACATTTATATTATATTAACGTGTCACTGCCACAAGGACCGTTGGGCAAATTAGGTGCTCAAACGTGGAATCCTAAGACAAATGTTTATATTAAGGAAGGTTTTTTATAAATACAGTAAATACCCTACATCAAGGTTTAAAAGTGACACATTTTATTTTCTGTTCTGCATTTTGCAGGCCATTTTCTAAAAATACTGTGTGGGACTGTTATAATATGACTCTGTGTCTTTACAAAAAATCATCTTCCTATAAAATGAAATCAGATTCATACAATTATGAATAACTTGTAAAATAGTGTGTAAGGGTCATTATTTATTTAGTCCCGAAGCAGTAAACCTGTATCATAGGCACGAAACCTATCTATTCCATACAAACCACTTTAGATGCTGTGCTGTCATTCATGTTACAGTAGTGAAAGACTTACCCACAATTGTGGCAAACACAAACACACCAATAAGGTAGCTGAGAATGGTGAACACATACCTGGAATCAAACACAAATTTCATAAGTTTTTCAAAGAAAAAAGACAATAGATAATTTACAGTGTAACTGTAAATTCAATATTTGTACAATGAAAAAAAACCTGTGCATATATCTGGGACTGAAGTGATCAATTTGGGATTAGTACAGAGACATTTGGTGTGTGTCAACAAGTATACATTCAAACATTCTGTGACAAATAAAATGATCATGTAATCTTATATGGTCCACCTTTGTGCAGGCTTATACAGCAAATACATGCCTGGCAATCTCACTCAAGTGATCACTTACTGCTAATGTGTCCAGCCTATCTTGCTTTAGATTGACACAATGACAAGCTGTTGACAAACTACAATTTCCTGACATGTGCATGTGGATTTCAATACCTAGGTTCCTTCTGTAGTTTAAAGTCCTGGGTACCATTATTTCTATTACAATAGATTTGACTACCACAGCCTGTTATTTTGTAACATTTTACTGTTTATACAATCTTTTTGGTTCTTGCCACAAATTCCATGAGTCTAGTTCAATTTACCATCAATATTTCATCCACCAGATATAATGGACTCACTAGGGTTTTTATTTCCTCTCCATTTGCCAAGCAAAATATAATTCAATTGATACATTGTTACAGTACCATTAGAGATACAGANCCTGGCAATCTCACTCAAGTGATCACTTACTGCTAATGTGTCCAGCCTATCTTGCTTTAGATTGACACAATGACAAGCTGTTGACAAACTACAATTTCCTGACATGTGCATGTGGATTTCAATACCTAGGTTCCTTCTGTAGTTTAAAGTCCTGGGTACCATTATTTCTATTACAATAGATTTGACTACCACAGCCTGTTATTTTGTAACATTTTACTGTTTATACAATCTTTTTGGTTCTTGCCACAAATTCCATGAGTCTAGTTCAATTTACCATCAATATTTCATCCACCAGATATAATGGACTCACTAGGGTTTTTATTTCCTCTCCATTTGCCAAGCAAAATATAATTCAATTGATACATTGTTACAGTACCATTAGAGATACAGACAAGAAAGTCTAAATTGCTTGGTTGCATGGAATACTTTGGTTCTCATTTTGAATTTATAGGATCCAGAAGAGTTTCTAAGGAAAATCTATTAGAAAAGAAAAAAGAAAGAAAGAGAGGAAGAAAAATTTTGGGAAAAATATGACCAAAAATTAATTTAAATTGTTTCATTGCTGACAGCCCATGGATAAAAATAAATGTGAAAAAAAATTCTGCCTGTCTGTCAGCAGCAAAAGTGCACACAGTTCGATTTCACTGTGACAAGACTTAAGCTTTACCATTTACTAACCATCACTCTAATAACAGCTGCAAACACCATCACTTGTTGGCCATTATATATTGCATATGATCACTTTTTCTTTAATTTTTAATCATTATGAACATTAACAATATGTGACATGCTTTGGGATGATTGCACAAATGGATGCTAAGAGGATATAAAACAATAAACATTGCTTTGCTGTCGTCTGCATGCTCTTTTGGCTGCATTCTGTGCTTCTCCATGTAGGATCCTGTGCACAATGGTTCTGACATTTTGTCTCTAGGTATACAACACGCCAGTTTTTAAAGGCTTAATGTATATGACTGAATAGTTGCAGGCTTATTAGAAGAGTAGTCACATTTAAAACAAATTTACATTAAACCAGATAGAGTTAGGCAAATGCTACCAAACAGCCTGATAGCTTGTTGTACTTTTTAAAGATCAAGCTCTAAAATTAGCAAAATCCGTGCTCCTAGCCATGGACATACTGTATTTTCTTACCTAAATGACAACATGGCTAAATTATACATAAAAGCAAAGACTCAATATTATCATAAACATTTATAGATAGTAATATCAGGGTAGAACTTGAACCATCACTGTGAGGGTACAATTACAGTAGTCCCTTCATGATTTGACCATCTGCTGACAACATTTAGGCTATTTTTGCTTTAACTTGGACCTGCAGTGAATGCACCCTTAGAATAATGGACAATCAATGGCTTCAGAGTTAATTTACAGCCATAAAGACATTCTTCTGGAATTCAATTTGCCATGTCATCTGGGGAAACAGTATGAAAACATGGTAACCTTTCAAAATTGCCACATTTTCCAGCTTTGTGCACAGAGTGAATAGGGAAAGGTAATTTGTGTAAGCAAAATATCTTCAGCATCATGAAGAGACATCTACCACATGACCTTAGGAAAAATTTGGGTTTATGATAAAATAAAACATGAAACAACATCAGAATTTTCAAAATATGTATAACCTGTATAATTTTGCACATCTATTAGTAAACATTTTATTTCAAAGTGTGAATTAAAAATTTAATGAAAAAGAAAGATCTGATCACTATAAATTCAAATATACAAACATTGCTAATATAATTTGGCTTACAATTCAGTATTATTTGGCAGCAACCAGTGTACAAAACAAGTTCGTTAAATGTACCAAAAGGATATATATATATATATATATATATATATATATATATATATATATATATATGAGAGTCATGTTCACATGTGAAAAAAGTATATATAAATAGGTCAGTAAACATTTATAGCTAAAACACAAATTTGACTAACAAAATTTATCAGACAGAACAACAATGCCACATATCAAAGATGCACCTTTTTTAATACTTAGCCAAGTGTCCAAAATGAAAATGAAATAGCTCTTTTTTTCATATAGGCTTTTGATACTAAATGTCAGCATAATGTCACTAAAGAGTGATTTTAAAACATATCTGAAGCAAAAGGCAATGGTTACACTATGCTTATAAAATGCAAATATCTGAATAAAAAATGACTATAAAAATAACCTCCACTTCATTTACTTTAAGGCCTATTTCCAATGTGCAATCAAAAGATAAGGTGCAACTAAGAATGCAGAATAAAAAACTACTATCCATGCAACACTGGGGATTCCAATTCTCAGAATAATCTGAACAAAAGAACAAAAATATCATGCAAATAAATAAAGCATGGTGTTCATTTAGAACTGTAGCCATTGAGCTTGGGACACATAAAGGACACATAAAGCCTGCAAAGGGAAGTTAATATCGAAATTGATCCAAACCAATTTCCAAGGCATTATGACGACTACAGCCAATGTATAAGTTTTGCTTCTTCCTTTGTTCTATACTGTAACTCAAACAAAACATAGGAATAGGGCCAAACTAACAGAGGCATTGGGAGTGGAGGAAAAGGAAGATTGTGGAATCAAGAAATATTTTGATTTCTGATTATATCAGATAACAGTTTTATGAAATCAATAGAATTCCATTTATTAACTGCTGTGCAACAGTGCTACACAGAGTTGTAAGAACCTATGTGGGAGTTGCCACAGAAAGCATCCCCCTTTACCAAAGCCTCTGTAAATATTAAATATACAACATTTAAAATTACCAGTACAGGGGCATTCGATGAAATGAACTGAAAAATAAAAAAAAAGAAAATCCATTTGGTTAGAACACTGAGCTGCTACAAAAAAAAAAAAAAAAAAAAAAACATATTTCTTATATACCTTAACTAGAAATTTTAGAGAGGTGGGGCAGGGCCACCTGATGAGTAAGTACCACCAGCCACTTGACACCAGGTATCTTGTTTTTAACTTGATTAAAAAAACTACGAAGCAAATCCATAAGGTGAAAGGTAAAAATGCTGGTTGATCAGTCATCACAACAATGTAACTAAAATGCATTCATTTTAAACTTTTTTCAAGTTATATTGCCAAAAATATATTTAATCTAAATTGCTCTACTTCAGTAAATGACTAAAGCTTAGTCCTCCTCATCGCATGCTATGATTTTCTTAAATCTTATTTTGAGCTCACTTTTAAGACCACAAAATGGGTTTCAGGGCTTTGAGATTCTTTGTGCAACACAACTTATTTTTGAAACTGAAATTCCTGGTAGTCTTTTCTGTATGCAATTATTGACTTTTAAAGTCCTTTTCTGCTGATAAAAGACTTATTTTACCAATTTTACATGGTTTTCTGGCCCCAGTTTCACAAAAAAAAAAAAAAAAAAAAAAAAAAAAAAAAAAAAAAAAACCTCAGTTCATTCCCTGGCTTAACTGACGAGGATTTCCAAGAGAGTGCTGTTACACTGCTCCTGATAGGGTAAGATGTGCCCGTATGACCATGTAACCTTGGTAATTAAGTTCTTAGCCAGGGAACCTGACTTTAGTTTTTTTGTGAAACCGGGCCTGTTTGGCCAAAGTGAAAAAGAAAATGTTTCTGTTTTGTCTCACTGAAATGGCTGGTAGAACGTTCCTTGAAGGCAGCTTTTGCCTCTTGCTACCATGAGTAAATAAAATTGTTTAAAAAATTTTTACATCTCTGATTGGTGAAAACATTTTATAAAATAATCTTAAAATGAAAAAAGTAAAAATAATAATTAAGTAAAAATCTAAAATCATTTGCACATAAAACCATGCACATTCTTGCAGAAGAAAAAAAAAGCATTTAAAATGAAACTGAAGCCTTCTTGGATGTACCACAATTAGAGTGTTGATAGAACACATCATCAAAAAATTTCAATAACAATAAAAGTGACAGGAAATTGAATCTAAATCTAGTAAAGAACGATGTTCAGGTATGATGGTCCTGGAAAGTGGAACTTAATGTCGACACCTTACACGGACTTCAATCAGAATGACTGAATATTACAGGTTTTTGTATGACAGCGTAGGACAAGTTCATTAAGAAAGGAATCTAAGTAAATATTGTTTAATGGACCAATAGATCCCACAGTGATAGATCAATCTATCTGACACATCAAAAGATCCCCCACAGATGAAAGCTTTTTACTTTTAAGTATTTCCCGAATTGGTGTCATATGATAAAACCTACACATTTATTACTTTACATCTGTAGTTGGAGAAGACTACTTTCTAAATGCATTAAATTTTGCTCTTCTTAACTGTGTTATCTGGATTGGATGTATTTGTCTATTGTTTTACATGATGCTGTTG